GTATTGAAAAATGTGATTGGTAAACAAAAGAGATAACTAAGAATTCCTGTAGACACTAGTTGTTCTTTTTTCCAAATGGCCTTTAATTTTAATACTTTTTCAAAATATCAAAATAATTTATCAATTGCCCAAATAAGTTTGACGAGCCTAGAATGTGAACTCCTGGGAAATAAGAATTTTTGTCCGTGTCACTAATGTACTGATGTATTGGCATATAGTAGATGCTCAATAAATAAGAGTTGAAATGAATTGAGTACATTTTAAAGCCTTAACGATGTTTTGAAAGAGATAAGAAGGATAAATTATAGGCTGGGTCAGGATTTTCCTTTTTTTCTTTTCTTTCTTTCTTTCAAGATTCTTTTCTTTCTTTCTCAGATTTCTTTCTTTCAAGATTTTTTCTAAGATTCCTTCTTTCTTTCTTTCTTTCTTTCAAGACTCTTTCTTTTCTTTCTTTCTTTCTTTCTTTCTTTCTTTCTTTCTTTCTTTCTTTCTTTCTTTCTTTCTTTCTTTCTTTCTTTCTTTTTTTTCCTTCCAGAGAGAGTCTAAGGAGACTCTGCGCTGAGCATGGAACCCAATGTGGGGTTCAATCCCACGATCTGAGATTCCAACCTGAGCCAAAACCAAGGGTCAGATGCTTAACTGACTGGGCCACCCAGGTGCCCTCAGCCAGGATTTTCTAGTGAGTGTAAATGAAATATATATTGATTATTATATAATTTTCTGAATAAAGTCCTGGTATAGATAAATCTAAGAAAGGTGCAGAGACAGAGCTGCTAGGTGTGAAGTTGATTCGAGCATGGTGGACATTTTTGGCAAATATAAAATTCTCACTCTTCTTACACCTCTCACCTCACCCCCTGGTGCTCTTTCTCGGATCTTAGCTCCTTTCCAATTAGCCAGCTTCTATTTAATTACTTGAATTAACAAATTAAAATATTTATTGCTTTTGTTTTTAAATTCTGGCTAATGTTCTGTGTTTGTTGCGTGGTTGACTGTGGCTTGACAACTATCAGGAAGAATTACAGCGCTGAGGGTCAGGGAGATTAAAGCTGGACATCTCAGGTACTTTGCAGTGGGTTCTGGCTTTTGATCTCCATGAGTGATTTTCAATAAGAAGTAGGAGGATATATTTTTCCATTTTTCTATGTAGCTTTATATAATCAAGGGGGGAAATAATGTCTTGAGGCTTTAAATAACTGAGATTTTGTGTGATTTGTTTTAAGGTCACTATTCTTTTGTGATTTCAGTCGGTAATCCAGAAATCGTAAATTTTTCTCTGTGGCTAATTTAAGGTATCTCGGGGTATCCTGTGTTATGGCTCTTAATTGGGCTGTGATGAGGATGATGCAGGTAAGAAAATGATAGAAAATAAATTCTGGATTTTACAAGGAAAATTACACAAATGTGGGAAATGAGCCAAACAGTTTGGGCCTGCCTTCTAATACACCGCCTCAATTTAAAACATGCCACATGGCTCTCCCTGTAAAGTGAACAGTCTTTTTCTCTTCAGAATCAACAATGACTCCCCAAATTTAAGAGGATAAAAATCACCAGGGTGACTTGTAAACATGGCTTTTAAATGGTTTCTGAATCAACATTTCTTAAAGGTGCTTTTTATGGGTTGCTTTAGCGTTGCCAAGTCATCCCATATGAGAGGCAGCATTGAAAACGGGTGTTTCCTGCTTCTGGTAGATAGCACTTGCATGATCAATCCCTGCTTTCTAGCAGTTTATCATCAAACGCTGAAAACAGATGATATTCACATATAGCAAGGTAAAGATCATCAAATCCATATGTAGGCATTTGGTAACTATCTCTTCCTACATGACACATCTTTGTAAGCCTGTTTTCAGTTTATATTGATCTCAAAGGATATTTAGCATATGTGTGCCATGACCGTGATTGCTTTTCAACTTTAGTATGAAAGTCGGAGGCTGATGGATGCTCCCTAGGGCTGCCACATATGCTTGGGCAGGTGTGCCTGTCATGACTTGGCAGCTAGGGAACAGTGCCCCCTGCAATACTATAGGGCCCAACCTGCGTGGTCCTGTGTAGTAGCTCTGGGCATGAACTCCATTCATTCTCCTCTTCACCGCTTATTGAGCACCCTCTCTAGGCACAGTGCTAAATCGTGTAGAAAGTATGAATGATAAATTTCACCCAACAGCTCTATTAGGATCTAGGTAAAATATTCAGTTTCCTATGTTGCCTATACATGCCCATCTCATACCAGACACTCAGTTTCATCTTCCGTGAAGCCTGGTTGTTGATCCTCATGTCTAGCTATAATTGCTTAGCTGCTTATCTGTGGTTCCTTATTGTAATTACTTATCCTTGTGGAAAAGTCAGTATTGCAGTTTCCTGTTTGCAGTTCTTCTTAAAGTCTACATTGTTTCATTTAATGCATATTATCAATCACCCAGCAAATAAGTGTAAAGGGGGAAAATAGAATTATCAAGAATTAGTTCCCAGGGTTCATCATTGCCTTATCAGGCTAAGGTAGTAGATTCGGTAGATGGATCATTGTTTCTGTTATAAGCAAATATAGCAAATACAGAAGACTTGTAAATATCTAATATTGTATTAAACGATTTCACTTGCTAGACATGCGGATAGGATGACATAGCTCCTAAAAATCAATTTCCGAAGAGTTGTATCTGTGGTCTTACAGGTAAGACTCAGTTTTCCAGTACTTGAACATAGCTTTTGCCATCATCCAAATTTTAGTCCTTCTCTCATTGGACTCTATGGCAAGTTAACACTCTCTCTCCCTTGCAATACTTTCTTCCCTTGGTTTTGAGGATCCCACATGCTCCTGTTTCTTCCTTAGCTCTAGCCACTTTTCTTTGTCTCCTTGGTGCTTCTCCCGCCTCTTAGAGTGTCCTAGGGTTTAGTCCTTGGACTGCTTCTCTTTACGTGCACTCTCTTTGGACATCTTGTCTGCTCTCTTGCTTTCAAAACCATCCTCAGTCTGATGCTTCCTAGGTATCTGCATCTCTGGCCCCGTCCCTTCCTCTGAGTCTGGGCTCCCATTTCTCAGTACCTGCTTACCTCTGTTTGTCTGTGCAAGAGACATCTCGAATCTAAACATGTCCAGAACCATGCCCCTGACCTTTCCTCTTAAATCTGCTCTTTCTACTGTTCTTTCTCACGGTACACAGCAACTGTGCTCTTGACGTCTCTCTTTCTTTCACATCCCATGCGGATTCTCTCTGAAAATCCTTATGGCTCTGCCTTTAAAGTGTGCCCCAAATTTGTGCACATCTTATCCCCACCGCCTCTGCCCAGGCCTGGGCTTCCTCACCTGGATTGTTGCAGTGGCCTATATGGAAGTGCTCCCCGGCTCCTCTCTTGTCTCTCCTGTCCTCACGTCCCCCACCCAGCTGTCAGTATGATCCTGGTGAAACATAGGTAGGATTATACTACACTTCTGCTCAGTCCCTCAAGTGGCTTCCCTTCCCAATTGCAGAAGAGGACGAGTGCTTGTCTTCATCGTTAAGGCCTTACAGGCTCTGAGTTCTCCCCCACCTCTGTTTGTATTTCTCTGTAATTACATCTCCTGCTCCCTCCACTGTCCTTCATTGACCTCAGCCACACTGGCCTCCTTTCTCTTCCTCACGCATGCTCTGTACTTGCTGGAGATCTGACTGCCCATAGGTCTGTATAGTCTTCACCTCCTCTGTGTCTTGGCTCAAAAGTCACCTTCACCTCAGCAAGGACTTCCCTCACCACATTATAGAAAGTGGTAGTCCTCTCCTCCACCCCCCACCCCCCACCACTTCTCAGGTACTTGCTGTCGTGCACTCCTATTTTATTTTCTTCTATTGCACCTAGCATCCAGTGACACACTTTGTAGCTCAGTCTTTTTATTTATTATCTGTCTTTCTCACTAGAATGTAAGCTCATGGAAAGCAGTAATATTTATTTTTCCCATTGCTCTGTTCTCAGTGTCTAGAACAGTATCTGGAATCTATTTGGCACTTGGTAAATACTTGTTCAGTCAATTAATAATGATTTGCCTATTTGCTAAGCCCTTTTTAGATGTTTTCTACTACAGCTGTCTAGCTGAACAAAACTGTTTGTCTTAGAACCATGCGGCTGAGATTTATCCCCCAAAACATGCTGCTCTATGTGCATCCAGAAGCAATTTGATCTTTAGTTACCTTAACCGAGAGCCACTATGGTGATGGCAGGAATCATCATCTCTATTGTCCAGTAAACACCGTGGCTTCACAGTCTTCACAGTCTTCACAGTCTATCACATAAACGGCCTCCCAGAGAGCCTAACGAGTTATTTCTCCTACATGAACATCCTTCAGTATTTGTCCCACTTCCTTCAATTAATGAAACTGTAAATAACCTATTCAGTTGAAATCATAGGATTTTGGAGTTTGACTTAAGGCAAATCATTCTTTGCCTAATTTTTTCCTGAATTCAGGTAAAATATTCAATTGCAGGTATAATTAAAAAGGAGAGGCAGGGAAAAGTGAGAGACTGGCCATGGGTTATTATTTCAGTTTTTTATATTGTCTTATTGTTCTCTAATAATCTGGGTCTCGTTAATATCAACAGTACGGGGCCAGTAAGTCATAATGCTTTGGCTTGGACACAGTGTCGCAGGCTCTCAAATGTTTTAATGTGCCCTAAGGAAATGCAAAATGTAAATAGCAGTCAGTAAATGGGTTCATATTATTAATGTTGCTTAGGAATCCTTAGAGGTAAGATCTATTTCATCCATCTTTTCTTTTCCTTTTTTTTAATCCTTCTTTTAAATGACGGGCTGGGTACTTCCAGATGATTGGCTTAGTAGAAGGGAACAGCCCATACGAAAATCCAACATAACAGAAGATAGTCTCCGCAGAAATAAACTGCCCCGTGGAAACTCCTACTGGCAGGGCGTGACACATGGTACGCCATTCATGGGCCACTTGCAAATATGACTGAGGCACTGAGCAGCTGAATTCTGGGAATGTTCTTTTCTTTTCTTTTTTAGCTCTTCTCTGGAGGAGGGAGAGCGTTCAGGGAAAAATAGCCTTAAGAAGCAAAAGGAATTGGCTGACACAAATAAACATGGAATGTCTGTATCGAGACTGAATTTTGCATGCTCGAAATCGACTTTGTTGGGTTGGGGGAAACGGTGCGCTATACTGCTCTAGCAGACCAAGTGTCCACGGTTTCGGCACGAGAATGGGTTATGAGACACCATTGGATGGCGTGGTTCAGAAAAGCTGAGGTAAGAACTGGTTAAGGTGAAAGGAAACCTAACTGATGAAACTTGACTGAGCTGGAAGAAACTGTGTTGGTGTTTGATTGCGTGTAGGGAGAATTTCTTTGCCTGGGAGTACCTTGTGCAGTTGTCACAGGGGTTGTTGCATACGCCTCATCCCAAAACACTTTGAAGTCCGAACGTGTGTGCAAATTCAAGTTCATTTTTTTTTTTAATCTATGAAACGGACTGCGTGTTCCAGCTTCTACCCATTTGTATCCTTAGCGCTCCCTTAAGTCTTGAAATTTTACTTAACTGATTTATCAAGTCTGCAGTCTTCTACCATTGCTCATTCCATCATTATATCATCCATCTGCCTTTGTGTTAATTAACCAGGGGAGGTGAGTCTTATTTAACTTAAAAATCATTTTGTTGTTATTGTCATGTAGAAATTTTTATGTGTCTATGGTCTGGTTGTCACTACCAACAAAGCTTATGCCAATTTGAGTATATCTCAGTAATGTACCTTGATAAATTCCTTTTATTTCAATTTTAAAATGCCCACTGTCTCATAAAGGACTGCCGTGTGCTTGTTTATGGCTGGTAATCCCGAGATTAGATAAATTTTGTTGATGTACACAAGCAAGTTGTGTACTGTTTGGAGAGCCTAGAATAGATATCAAAGATCGAAGCAGTGTCAGATGTTCGAGTAGTTTTCTTCTTAATTTGGGGTAAACTAAAAGGAGTAAAGGGTTTAATACCAGATTTTAAAAAGTTAAGAATGATATCTGACTGGATAAAAGGATAAACCTGCATGGGGCACATGAAAGGTTGTTGTTGGGTTCATGTTTCTGCATGTACAGAAGATTGTATAAATAATAAACTGATGTTCTAAATATTTTTCTGTTTGTATAGAGAATAGTTACTTATTCTGTATTAACAAATGGCATTATTTCATGTTGTTGAATCCAAAATCTGAGGTGTTTATGAGAACGATTTTGCCCTGATGCAAAGAGAAATGTGGAATAAGGAACAGGATGTGTAACCCTCTCAGTGTTCCTTACCATCTTATCAGTAGGAGACAAATGTAAACAATAAATGCAATAAAGTATCGATGAGTAAATTATAAAGTGATAAGCACCACAGAAATAGGAAAAATAGAGTGGAGAATAAAGGAGTGACAGGGTGAGAGTAGGTGGCATTGTTAAGTAGGGTGGTCAGAGTAGGCCCCAGTGAGAAGTTGAGATTTGATCAGACTTGACATAAGTGAAGAGGTGGTCCAGGAGATCTGTGGAAGAAGGGCTCTTTCTAGAGTGAACATCTAGACCATGACTCTCTGGCAGAAATATGCCCGAGTGTTCAAGCAATAGCAAGGAGGCAAGTATGCCTGACACAGAGAGAGTCAACTGGGGAATAGTTTACCTGATTACTGATTCTTCTAATCCTGTCCTTAGGCAATTTGTCACCAAAAATAAATCCTAAGTTATTTTGCTTGTATTTAATTTGTTTGTTTTGGTAAAACTGAAACTGGAATATTTATTAACCCTGGATTTAAATTAAATCATATAACATGCTACATATAAAAAGAACAACTTTTTAATCAATATTTTGTCCCAACTGTGTCAACATGAGTTTCAGTGGACATTTCTACGTAGAGAGAATGATGGCCTAGATGGGGAATGACAATCAATCACCTACCAACTTTTCCCTGAGAACATGAGAGAAATCTGTTTATTATAATTAAGTAGCTCCTAGCTAAGCCTTTAGCTCTGATCCTCAGTATAGCACCTGAAGTGCTAGGCTGAGCCAGATGGAGAATTCTTTCCCGATCCCCTAAGGGAGACTTAAAAACAGTGTGAGATCTGCTTTACCTATCTCCACTCCTAAATTCAGCCAGAATCATTGAGTTATAGTATTCTGACCCGGAGACAGACCAGAAAGAGGAAGAGAAGAGGATGGAGAACACAGTGGGGATCACAACGCCTAGTGATGTGCTTCCGCAACCTAGCCCAGGCCTCTCACAAACGCAGGGCATAACGAGGGAGAGGGTGAGGGAGCAGAAGAAGAATGGACACCCCTTTTCCAGAAGGTCTGTTAAGTCTTGTCTAAAGGGTGGGGATAAGAAAGGATGAGAGAATAATAATGTGTCTTCTTTAAAGCCTTTACCCAACAGTTTCAGGGTCCACACATGCTTCTGTTCCATGCTTTTGTGAAGTCTCTCCGAAAATCCCACAACCTCGATTTGTGGACTAAAAAACACCCCACAAGTCTGATAGATCCAGATCACTAGTTTTTCTTGGGAGACAGATTCAGGGCAGATATTTCACACCAAAGAAGAATTTAGAATAAAGAATGAAGTGCTACCAAATTGTTGGAAGGGGGAGAGTGTCAGAGGGTTTTTGCTGTTCTTGTTCCTTGCATTGCAAACTATGAACAAGTGTCCAGGAAACTATGGCTGTCATCCACAAATGGAGGAAAACCCCCACAAAGCTCCAACCACCCCACCTCCCCCTAGGCTGGCGACCCGTAGTAGAACATGAAACTGCCAGTCACTAAAAAGCATTTGCCAAAGCCCACAGTCAGTCACCGCGTCAGGTGTTGGGCTAAGGATTACTTCTACTTCTCTTCACTTTTGCACATCATATGAGTGTATCTCCCTGGCAGAGTGTAAGCCTTATCCAGAACCCGAATGGCAGGGGAGTAGGAGAAGCGTAGCTCTTAGGCTTCCAGCCCCTGGCATCCGGGGAGAGTGCAGAAGGGGGTGGTATGAATACTGACTGACAAACATTTTGTCAAAGGTGTGCCCATTTGCAAAAGGAAGAAGTGAAAGCTAAGTGGAAATTTTCAGAGGGAGAGAGGGAAGAGTCACATTTGCTAGTGAGGAGTTTTAATCCCAGGTACAAGGTATGATAAACTGTGTGTATATAGTTGTGTGCATGTGTTTGTGCCAGAGAATGCCACGCATTTGGGTGGATTGATTGACTAAAATTGATTTTCAGGAGCTGGGGAAGGGATCCCATTTATTTTCTACAAGCCATCAAAAAGGTAGAAATCAGTTGTTTAGCTAACTGCTGTATTTCGGGTGGGGGGGGTTGTTTATTTTTGTTTTTGTTGTTTTTAAGGAGTATGGACTGGAAAGGTAGAATTTTCCTACAGAATGCATGGATAGCCGTCATTTACAGACTTCCGCCTGGGAAAAAAAGATACCAGCTTGCCTGCCTCAGAGCCACTCCTACTATGGTGTGCTGGTGAAGACACTGACTTCCTGTTCTTTTGGGAGGAATTGAGTTTTCTCTTACAAACCAACTCCATCTGTCCCTTTTCCTAGATTCTTCAGAAATCTTCAACTGTAGTTGAATGTGTTCAGAATCCCTTTGTCAACCATTGCAGGATCTGAACAGCTCTCACCTTTATGTGTTAAAAGAGATTTTAGGATTGTGTAACCAAATTGCCAACTGAACATTTTTCCTCAATGTCTATATTTAAATGATTCTTGAGACTGCCAGTCTTCTAGAGCTAATGAATTCTTTCCCATTTGGCAGCAGATCGCTTACTGCCAGCCCCTTTCCCTCTGATAAATGTTCCCATAGCAACACTAAGGCAATCTGTTTGGTTTCATTAAATACCAAATTATAGCCTGAGAAAATGTATAATGTATTATACCATATTATAGCACCTAGTGAAAGGACTCATTGGTGATTGAATTCATTGTGATTGTGGGGCGGGGGTGAGGGGGTGTGTTCAAATAATCAGTAAAAAGATTACATTTCTTTTTGTAAGAGAGAAAAAGAAACTCTTGAAATCTGAGTCATTATTTTGAACTTCAACAAGGATTCACATTTGCTCTTGATGGTAGCCTATCTAAATTTCCTGAGCTCATTTTTCTCTGTATTCCTAAAACCTGTCCCTCGTTATCTATTTGGATACTTTCACTCACGCACAGGTTCTTTTTTCTGCTTCTAAACATATTTTTAAAGAATAGATAACCTCTGGATATACAAACAGCAGAGATGTCTATTGATTTATGAAAATCAAAAAAAGGTGCGTCAGCTACCGTCTTTTTCTGCAACAGAGTAGATTAAAGGTGTTTGCAGCCTGAGAGGTTGATGTGCCTATGTTAAGCAACCCAAAAGGAAAACCTGGCTTTTCAGAAACAAACAGGAGAGGTAATAATCACCTTGCAAGGCATATTTTGCTTCTAAAAAAATTCACCATAGTCATAGTGAGATTTCTGTTTGCATTTAACATAATTGGACTCTTCATTTATATATAAGTTGGGGGATACTATTTTTCGACCAGGGCAATGATGCTTAACTTTGAAGGGACTAAAGAAATCATGTTGGCCATTCTTCTGCTTCCTGAAATGAAAAATTTGGGTACCACTTAAATTTGGGTACCAAATAAAATAATTTTATTTGGCAGTTATACCTCAATAAATGTGTGTGTGGGGGGGGAGAACTTTAAAAAACAAAAAACTTGGGGCAGAAAGAATAAGTTATTTTTCTAAAATGAATCCAACCTTGTTTGTAAGGATTAGAAGTATTTACTACTCATGGTCTTTGCCAGTGGGTTTTCCATGAAGAAATAAAGACAGGTACTTATGAATTTTGTTGGCCACTTCATCATTGCGATTGCTGTATATGTTTATACTTACCACACCATTAAATTATATGGCACATAGCAGTTTAAAATAGAGTGTGGAATGCAGCAGGCACGCACCAACCATACTTTTCTATTCTACTTCCTAGTTTATGTTTGTTTGTTTTTTTTAACCACTTTCCGAAGGTAGTTGTCGCATGTCGTCCTGTCATGATTTCTGCAATGATTCATACGTGAATATTTATTTCTATTAGACTATTGTCAATAAGAACCAGACAGAATATTTTGTAGATAGCTCCAATTTTTATAACTCTAAGAATAATACTGCCCCTAGCAGTGTTCCCATTACAGTGTAGAGACGGTTTTGATGTATATATTTCAGGTATCTGGAGCAATGCAGAAAAAGGCAGTCCTGGTTGATACCTATT